AACATAAACATCCCGCTTGTTTCTCACTTTTGTTCAAGGTTGAATTCCTCTGCAGTACCAATCATACTAATAGCTAATAGCATGTTATTACATAACTTAGCAGCTTAACCCAAGCCCACATCGCCGCAATAAACGATTCTGGATCCCATAGCCTTGAGTATAGATTTTGCGTGATCAAAATCTGTACTCGAACCACCAACCATGAAAGTCAAAGTACCGTCCCTGGCTGCATTCACACCTAGTATGACATTGACACAATTTAATATTAAATCGTTTTTCATATTTCCGTATCTCAAACTTATTCCAATCCTGTTTATGTTTATTGATCATTTAAATTTATTGGCGCAACAAAATCTATTTTATAATATTTGTAAAACTCTATATTTATCTTTTTTTTTGTAAAAATGTACTAATTTTTAAAAATCTAGCTTATATTATTTGTAAAAATGTATATTAATCTTTTTTTTTGTAAAAATGTACTAATTTTTACAAAGAAAAAAAAGATAAATATAGATTGTTACAAATATTATAAAATAGATTTTATTGCACCAGTAAATTTATTTGTAAAAATGTATATTTATCTTTTGTTTCTCTGTAAAAATTAGTACATTTTTACAAACAAAAAAAGATAAATAGATTTTTACAAATATTACAAAAACAATAACTATAGATTAATATGTTTTTTAATAACATAATTGTCAAATTTATATAATTAAATGTTTATATCTCCTTCATCGAAGAAAATGCTGCACTAAAGAGAAATTAACGATGAGAAGAAACTAATTAATAAAAATTAAAATTTATAATACATATTATTTAACAAATTTTATGATGTCAAAAATATTTTTGTACCCTATGGAAATTAATTTTACCTGAGTACACCGTTTTTGCTGGTGTAAATATCGAGGATTTGAAGGCTACATATGCTGATTTGAAGGCAACATCGAGACGATAACTTCAACTTTATTTGACATTTCAGCCACGTTTGGTGCGCTACTTACACCCGCTTCCACTAAATTTGTCACTGCCGATTTGTTCAAGTCATATACAGTGAGCTTGTAGCTCTAATAAAATACGAGAATTAATTATTTATAAAAAGTTTTTTCTTTAATTTGATGAAGGAATAATTTATTGAATGTAATTTTATTACTTACTTTCTTCAACAGATTTTTCGCCATATGACCGCCCATGTTGCCCAATCCGATGAATCCAATTTTTGAATAGCGTTTTGCTTTTAACAGAGAATAACTCAAGCTTTCAATATTATAACATTTCTTTCGAGCTTAATAGGCGGATCACATACGTGATACATGATCGATACGCATACGACATACGGCATTGAAGTAGCGCGCTGAAGTCTCTCACTTAATCCCCACTCCGCCCAAAGCTGCGCGGAGCGAGGTCGTTCTCTCCGTGTGAACGCAGTATAGATAATTTAGCATAAAAACACATTACATAAAAAGCTTGATAGCGAATGGCAGGCGATTCAAATAAAATTAATATTTTACTGTTAAGTACTATTAAGAAAATGAGAGCTGCCTTGGGTTTCGTTAAAGATATTAATATATTCTTAGCATATATAAAAACATTTCAAAAACTATAAATTATATGTTAAAATAAATATTATAACCGTAAAAAAAGATAATATTTAAAAAAAGTTTTTTTCCGAAATACAACGCAAATTATTTTGAGTTCATAAAATTTCTGATAGGTTCCTACAGACTCGTATGTTTTTGCAATCAATTAATTTACAACTATCAGTAGAGAACATTTGATGGAAGAGCACACGCGACGGTTATTAATATTATTACATATATGTGTGATAATTATTAATCGATAAATATGAATGTATCAAAATGTAATATCGTCATAATATCGTCGTTATTAATTCCATGTTTTATGTCCATTGAGCCATTTCTTAGCTATATACATTAAAGAATAATAATAAACGTAACCTCGCGTGTATCATCTTTTATCGTTCTAAGCGATCGTTTTATGGCTCATTGAGGAGTGCGAGACTTTATTAATATTATCCTATAATTATTTTCTCTTCTCACGGCCTATAAAAATGAAATAACATCAAATCCATTTGAAAAAAACAAAACATTCTATAAAAATAAAATTGTGTCAGTCCTTAAAAAACAAGTTTGCATGAGTTCTTAAAAAATGTTGGTTTTGCTATATTATTATGTAGATTTTGAATTTTTTCTGACTGATTTAATCCGATGATTAAATTTACATATCTTTTCGAAATATCAAAGATTCATATTTGTGTTGTATTGAATATTATTAAAATTAATTACATTAATTTATATATGAGTGTGAAATGTCAAACACGAACACTTAATCAATAATAACAACAAAATCTGATTTAATTGCACGTAAGTGTGTTACTAGGTGTTTATGATTTTAAATGTTATGTTTAAAGAGGAATACACTGTGTAATTTCATTGCATATGATTTTAATTGTTGTATACATATAAACGCTGAGCATAATTTGAAATATTTCTATACATGGATCGGTAGCATCAAGGTCGCTCTGCAATAACAGGTTATTAGACCACCTTTGTCCGAGATAACAATAACTAATTTACTACATTTCGTTATTGGTGTCGCGAAGTACGTCGTTGCTAATTTTTTATGAACTGGCAATTAAGCGATGTACATAATTGCGCTTACGTTTCTTATTTGCCCCGCGTCGTTGATGTAATTACATTCATGTCAAGCACGTTGGTTGTTCGTAACGACATGTTTATTCAGGTTTGCTATCGAAATAGTTATCTGCTGTGAAACTGCATTTCCCTAGTACTTCAGTGTACATGACGCTACGTAGACTGCCAAGTAGAGGCCTGCTCACGAACTAGTTTATGACTGCTTGCACTCGATATATGCATGTAATTTCAATTGGAGTAATCTGCCAAATCGACTCTTAGTCTCATGTTAGACTTAATCGTGTTACATTATAATTGTTAAGTGCAACGTGCTGAGAAAAACAAACTTTCGATATTGTGATAAATCTGATAAAGTGGAAAAAGCTTGTTTAAATAATTGATGTTAATTAATTTAATAATAATACTAGTTTACAAATTTCACACTTTTTTTAGTGCTAGAAATGGAACCAACTTTTTTTTAACGTATTTTGGGGCGCTGATTTCGAATCTGCCACCAGAAAAAATTCATTGGGTCAAATTTTTTAGATATAGCAAGTTAGCACTGTGGTTTGCCTTAGAATTTCATTGTATTATATCACCGTTTGTTCACGAAAATATCATATGGACGTGTAACAAAAATTTAATGCTCAACACTTCTAATTTGTTTTCTAAATTCAACAAAAAATTCGCTATATATCGTAAAAATAACTTTTCTTATATCTCGAAAACCGTACCCGATAGATATTTTTTGATGGCAGATTCAGCGTTGAAAATTACCCTAAATCAGTGTTCAAATGCTCTGGCACAAAACTTTGTAAACTAGTATAATTAGTCATCATTTATCATTAATAACGTTACATCAATATACCAAGAGTATTCTCATATAAAAGAGAGAAAAAAAGAGTCTTATTTCTAAGTCTTATATATACAGGATATCCTAAAGCTACCGGATTTCCTCTTAATGGCAGATTTTTTAGAACATTCCAAGACAAAAATCTTAATACAAAAATGTCGAGGCTATAATAATTTTTAAACGGGAAGCGATTATATTTTACGAATGATAGGATTGAGATTTCGCGCGGTCAGGCATAGTGAAATAAGTGAAAAAAATGCTCTATGAGAATGGGACGTCCTTTTTATGATATTATGATAATCGTATAAATTTACAATAGCATTGTCGCGGTCAGGCATAGTGAAATAAGTGAAAAAAAATGCTCTATGAATGGGGCGTCCTTTTTATGATATTATGATAATCGTATAAATTTACAATAGCATTGTCATTATGTTTTCCCGCTTCTCTACGCATTGCATTAGTACATTCTTTTTACGAATAATGGATGCAAGAACTAAAGACATCTCAAAAATTATTCAAGTACAAATTTGCAACATGTTTCAACTTCAGCTCAAAGTAGTCGATAAATGTTACCATGAAAGTGTCTACTATACTATGCTATGCGAGACAAATAAATTGTAATAGAATTAGACTTTACGTTTATTTATTTTGTATTTAAATATTTTTTATTGAAACAATTGCAATTTGTATTTTATTGCAAACATTCCAAAATATTGCAAAATACAAAATAAATAAATGTCAAACCTAATTCTATTACAATTTATCTGTCTCGCATAGCATAGCATAGTACACTTTCATGGTAACATTGATCGACTACTTTGATAGCTGAAGTTGAAACATGTCGCAAATTTTTATTTGAATCATTTTTGAGATGCCTTTAGTTCTTGCATCCACTATTCGTAAAAAGAATATATTAATGCAATGCGTAGAGAAGAGGGAAAACATATAATGACAATGCTATTGTAAATTTATACGATAATCATAATATCCTAAAAAGGGCGCCCCATTCATAAAACACTTTTTTCATTTGTTATTTCGCCGTGCCTGAGCGCGCGAGATCTCAGCCCTATCATTCGTAAAATATAATCGCTTTCTGTTTAGAAACTATTATAGTCTCGAGACATTTTTGTATTAGGATTTTTGTCTTGAAATGTTCTAAGAAATCTGCCATTAAGAGGAAGTCCGGTAGTTTTAGGACACCTTGTATATATCAAAGAATCTCATATGGTATGTCATATAACTGATAGTGCGCGTTTCATAATCTTTTATATATATATATGTATATATTGCATAATATGTCAGTGTATTGCATAATATGTCAGTGTGGACAGATAAGTTGTGAATATGAAGACAAAAGGCGTGCGCAACATGTGCAACGTTCCATTATCTGTTATAATAATGAAAAAAGATTTTCATTATACCTACAGATTATCGCAAAGAAGATTACCGATTCAAATTTTATTATTAAATTAATAACATATTGGTAATAATTCATCATGAAAGTAAATTCAATATTTGATATTTTATCACTCATCATTATTTCACAATCAGTGTTAGCTAGTAAAGAAAATATTAGAAAAATTTCTCAAGTGGAATCCTGGATGTCAACAGAAAATTTTACGATGATGATCAAGAAATCGTTTTTTTATTCCACATGTTGTAATATCTTTTTAAGTGGTTGGTCTTTGTGGAAAGATTATATATTTTATTTCAAAGAAATAATAAATAAATTGTAAAATAATTCTTCTTTCAGAATCGATTCACAATGTAGAAGTGTTATTTCGTCAATTTATAAATATTTATCCGTATGAATATCTACTACGTCAAAAAATGTACGACTGTCAAAGCTATTTTTTGCTCGGACCGACGGATGATGAAATAGAGAAAGATATGCAAAAGTAACGCAAAACGATATACAAACTTAAGTTTACCTTACCTTAATTATCTTCTGAACAATGTGTGATAACAATAATATAAATATAATAATATAATTAAATTACTGTTTAAAAAATATATATTTAATGAAATTTATTCTATATATTATTCTCTGAGAGATTCATAGAAATATATATATTCTTTTAATAGAATACCCTCGTCCATTGCAACAACAGAAATTCTCATTATTGTCAATGGTGAACTGAAGAATAATTCAAGACTTTTCAATGTTTCCTTATATGGAAATGCTAATGCAAATATCGTGTCAAGATCCGGAATCTGGACCTTGTCAAAAAATTACTTGGAAGCTAGAGTTTTTCTAAATGTGAACAGGTTATTTTTTATAACTTATTCTTTTTACTTATTAACGTCTTTATATATACGTTAACATTTTTAGTTATTGCATATATATTCATGTATGTATATATAGATAATAGTAAAAACGTTGTCGAATAGGCAGAATACTAAATAGTTGCCTAATATTCATTGCAACTCTAATATATACATATATATACATACATATACAGGCTGTCCCACCAAAAGTGGCCATCCTCTTTTATCTTTTAAATTAAAAGAGATAGACCATAACCAATATATATCAAATTAAATGGTTCACTCTGAACTCTATTGTGAGCATAATGGTTGCTTTCAAAAGCTCTCTGTGTTAATGAACGGAGAGATATGCATAATTTTTTTATAATAATGTGATTATTTCGATGATAAAAGTTGTAGCATTGTTTGAAACAAATACAATGATGCATGATATAATGTAAATATTTGATATATTATACGTGTTTTATCAACTTGAAATATCGCGGGCGATGTCTATCTTTTCATTTTCGGCCCTGCGATATGGCCAACTTCGGATTGAATATTATGATCAAATGGCAACATGACATATGTCAATCTCTAAGGGCCGTGGCACATAAAAAAACTTACGCAGTAATGCCGAGATTACGATGAACTTGACGTAACGGGACGCGACGGGACGTGAAGTGACGTAAAACCTAAAACACTCTTGTTTTAGGGCCCGGGCATGTATGTATTGCCAATAATGAATGTATTGCCAATAATTCTTTATCAAACATACACAATAATAATTATTGTTTGATAAGGAATTATTGGCAATACATTCATTAAGTCGTACTACACCAGAAAATATGATAAAACATATCCCACTAAAAAAAACCTCACAAAGGTAAAAAAATACGCCAAGTATATATCTAAAAAATAATTTATAAAATATTTTTCCTAAATAATAAGAAATAAAAAATAAATTTGAAATCAATAGTTAACTAGCC